GTATTGTATGTAAGACACTTGAGCAGAGGTGAAAGTAAGCTGGTCCGGTACATCAGTAAGAGCCGGTACAAAACTGACCGCACTGGCACGGCTGCTGATGGGGGGGTGGGGCTGGGGCAAAAGGGGCAGGTTCCCCAGGGCCTGGCAATTTAAAAGGGCCTGGGGCTTCTGACCATGGCCGGAGCCCCTGGCCCTTTAAATCGCCACCAGAGCCCCAGGGCTCCTGGCCACCGCCGCTGCCACGGGGCTCCAGCAATGATTTAAAGGGCCCAGGGCTTCCAGCCATCACTACCGCACCAGCAACCAGAGCCCCAGGCCCTTTAAATTGCCGCCACAGCCCCGGGGTAGCGCTAGCGGCAGCCGGGAGCCCCGGGCCTTTTAAATCGCCGGCAGCAACACGGGCCCGGCAGTGCTGAAGGGCTGGCTGGGGGAGTCTGGCCTCAGCCCCACCCCTTGTGCCCAAGGCCCTGCCCCTTCCAGGGGCCCAGAGCCCTCCCCCAACCTTGCTCAGGACCCCAGCCGCCCTGCATACCGGTAAGTCCCTTAAGTTACTTTCACCCCTGACTGGAGGTGATTGTCCCTCTCTACTTAGCACTGGCGAGGCCTGAGTTGAAGAATTGTGTTCAATTCTGGGCACCACACGTTAGGAAAGATGTGGACAAATTGGAAAGAGTCCAGAAGGTTTAAAAAACCTGACCTATGAGGAAAGGATAAAAAAAACTGGGCATGTTTAGTTTTGAGAAGAGAAGACTGAGAAGGGACCCGATCACAAATATGTTAAGGGCGGTTATAAAGAGGACAATGATCAATTGTTCTTCATGTCCACTAAAGGTAGAACAAGACATAATGGGTTTAATCTGCAGGAAGAGAGATTTAGATTAGATATTAAGAAAAACTTTCTAATTATAAGGGGAGTTAAACTCTGGCATAGGCTTCCAAAGGAGATTGTGGAATCCCCATCACTAGAGATTTTTAATAACAGGTTGGACAAACACCTGCCAGGGATGGTATAGGCTTATTTGGTCCTGCCTCAGCACAGGGAGGAGCTTGACTTGATGACCTCTCAAGGTCCCATCCAGTCTGACATTTCTAAGATTTTGTGATTACTTTCCAGGGTGGGCTGTACCTAACTCACCACTCCTCACTTCCCACATTCAAATAAACCAAATGCATCCCACTATCATAGACGTGTACAACTGGAAGGGACCTCAATAGGTCATGTAGTGCAGTCCCCGACACTCAAGGAAGGACTAAGTAATAACTAGGCCATTTATGACAGGTGTTTGTCTAACCCAGGGGTTGGCAATCTTTCAGAAGGATGGGCAGTCAGGGCCAAAACTATTCTGGAAACCACTGTCCATCTGCCCTTTGATTCTAGAAATCTTTAAAAATGGCTTAATCCCACTTCTTCCTATGTCTTGTGTTTTCTAGATCCTGTGCCTTAGTTGTCATTAAATCTAGTAGAAATTTTCTGACTTTTGATTCTTCATCCAAAAAAATGACAAATTTGTTACAAAAAAAAATTGTGAAAAGTCAAGTTTTTGACCAGCTCTGGTTTTCATGTTTTTCTGAAGTTGCACTCGTACAATCAACCAGTTGTGATTTGGAGAAGAGAAGTTAGGAAGCCTAATAAAACACACAAGTTTATCCTTGCCCTCTAAGGATAAATACATTATCCCCATACACACTCTCTACAAGTCCAAGACTATATCCTCAAGCCACCTCCCAAACCTTCATTGCTTCATGGTAACAGAGAGATGAAGATGAGACTGTTCCACAAGGCTGGATATTTGTGATTTATTTTATAAATAACTACTTTGACAGAAACAGTAGAGCTGTGCCTACATCATCTCTGAGTGAAATAAGCAGCTGACTGCCTTTAAGGCTACAATCAGTTCCACACAAAAAGAACCACCTAATGGAAGGGACATAGAGAATTTTGACCTTTAGTTACACACTAGGGCAATTCTGTCTTGGGAACTGAGCTCCCAATTGTAGACTGCATGCTTTAAACATCTCAGTGGGGCAGTAAATTAGCAACACAGAATTTTAATTGCTTGCTTTGGGGGAAGTTAAATAGAACAGACTCTTATCCCAATCTTATCTCAAAATATTTCATTATTGATGTTGGAAGTACATCCCCAGTTTTCCCACCCTTATACTTTTCAAATAAGTTATTAAATCTATATTGCAATCTTATCACTCAGCCTTACAGAGCTGCTCTGTGGTTTTCACGTTTCAGCTATGGACCCAAGCCAAGTCCCAAATAAACTGCTGAACTGTTTGCAATGTAGCATTCTCCATTTATGTTCAACTTTCTCTCCACTCCCTTTTTCCCTGAAGTGGAATTAGTATAATGGATTTACATTTCCTTAAAGGGAAAACATTAATCATTTTTCTAGGTTTACTTATTTATTTAGAATGAAGAAACAATCAATGTAAAGGAAACATTTGACATCTACTCTACATCTTTATGGGTTTCAACTACGGTTCTACACTGTGATTTTCTTTGCCCTTTTTATGGGATTTGAGATTTCCAGAATAAAGGGCAACACTAAAATATTAAGTCCTTAAAGGCAAGGATTCTGCACAGTGGCTCTGCACCTAGCATACAGCACACAGGGGATTGCTTTTGCACTGCCAGGAAAAAGGGATGTTGTAGCTAGGGACAGTTTCAGTTGTCCTCTTCCCCCAAAGACAGTTTCAGTTGTCCTCTTCCCCCAAAGCATAATGGGTCGCAGGCATCACTACTGCCTTAAGACTGCAGTAGCAGCTCTGCAGATCCTCCATGGCTCAGGGCAGGGATGGGAAGTAGTCTTTCCCTTACTGATCTCTACTTCCTGACAGAAAGCACAGCCAATTTGTGTTGGGGTTTCCCCAATGGAGAACAATTAAACTAGAAAACAAAAACAAAAAACAAACACCACAGCAGCAACATTAATTCTAATGTAAATATTTGCCATTTAAACCTAAAAGGCTAATTAGCAGTTCACTTCACTTGATTTACATTTACATTTACACTGACACTGTAATTATCCAAGGAGTGAAGTGACCCTCCTTATCCAAAAGCTTCAAATGAAGCATTGGTAGAATATTGTAACAGTGACAAAACGCAGTCTTGTCTACAGCATGCAGTTACTTCTGGAGGGGAAAAAACAGACTCTTGTTTATGCAGAGAGACAGTAATTTCAGCTTAGTTATAAAACTTTGATCTAGTGTAATTAGTTTGTTAATTTAACAACATTGCCACAGTAATCTCAGATAAAACTGATCAGAGATAACAAATTAAGGAAATAAATTTAAATATAATCTATCTACTATCAAATTTCAAGCAAGCTATATTTCCCCTCTTCTTTCCTCCCTCCCCCCCCCCCCAAAAACGTCAAGAATACATGCTTGGTACTTAAAAACTAGTAACTCTCTCTGATGGCATTTTAAACCAAAAAAAAAAAAAAAAGACCAGTAAACACTTCAGTAAAAGGTGTCAGGAGTTACTATAGGCTGGATGGTGCTTTTGTGATCAGTCCTGAATGAAGGGGCAGCACATAACTGCTCCATCCCAAGAGCAACCCCTAGGAGAAACTGTGACTCAATCACGTTTCCTCTGCTCCTCTCTTGCTTTGGGTAGAGATGCAGTGAGTGTAGCTCTGGAAAAGGTCAGTTTATTTCTCCTCCTAGCACCTAGCCAGCTACTTAGGTCAGCTAGAGGGTAGGTGGGGTTCAGAAGCAACGTTCCACCACCCATACCCCTTACCCTTGTTTGCAAGCAGCATATTCAGAGAGAGTGGTGGGCATACTCCATACAACATCTGGAGCTAAAATAGGCCTTACCAGGCAGGCCAAGCAAATGGGTTGAGGGCCTTACATCCCTTACTCATGTTTACTTAGTCTAATCTAGCCCTATATGTATTGGTCTACACAGCAGCTTTTTTATGTACACAGTGTGTTAAAGTTACCAAATTTAACCTGTAACTCCAATTAAAGTTTTAAAACTGCTTGTTTTCAAACAACAAAATAACAAGTTCATGTCTTTATTCTTGCTCTGTAGATGCAAAATAGAATACAAGATTTAGGTGTATGCACAAATGGGAACAAAAAGTGATAAAGGAAGGTTTCAGCTTTGTACAAATTAAGTCAGTTCTCAACTTTAGAAAGTATGGTATTAAATTGGAAATGGCCACTTTTATATGATCTGAAGTATAATAAGTTATGTAACTGCTGAAGGAGCTAAATCATCCTTTAATATGAGTCTACATATATAATGACGCATAGAACTAAAACATCCAAAAATATGTTTTATATTGGACTGGTTTGCTGGTCTGTTTAGTTTTAGTTGGTATTAAGAATATGTAATACTAATAACTTTGTTTTGAGAACCAAGCTTTTGCAACCACAAGTCTTTTGTAAGAATCATGACTCTCTCTCTCTATGTTTCCTGGAATTTAAAATGCACCCCAGCAAAAAAAAAAAAAAAAAC